AACAACCAAGAGGGTGGGGGATTAAGGACGAAACCCCAACCTGTATATAAAAAATACCCTAAATGTGCTGAGAAGTCACAAAACTACAAGTCCAATATCTGATATACATCAACTCAAACGAAACCAAAAACCAAAACCAAGATAAAAAAAAATACAAGAAACGACTGACAAATGCAACGAGAAATACAAAAATGACAGATCCTGGTTCGGAGAAAGTCTCGGCGAAAAAGTCAGCATCACAGTGTGGCAGATGCGCCAAAAAGTAAGACCGGCTACACAAATCTGAATGAAAGTATGTGTTGAAAGTATGTGTTGGAATTTTGAACTAACATCCCCTTCCTATATTACAATGTCTCCTACCTGTATATGTCTATTAACACCTAAGCAGCACCGAGAGTAATAATTTATTGAAATCACAAAAATAAATTCCTCAACAAAAAGCATCTCCATTTTCTAGCTTGCTTGGCCTTTTGTGCCCTCAAAACAGTCCATGCAAGTGAGCCAGATTTTCATATCGCCCAACAGTACACAGAAAATCAAATAATTTAAAAAGCTAAACTTAACCATTGGAAGGAGTTTAACTAATTATATTCCTCTCATTGATAGTATCGTATGCTGGGTATGTCAATGTTTGAAGATGAGCTAATTTTACACCCTTAGATTCAATCCTTCTGTGATGCTCTCAACCCTCCTTCTATATGCATAAATCAGAAAAAGGTCACAAATCATAACCTCTTTTGTCCAAATTATTACGAAGATCCTGGAAAATAAATTACCAATTGTGATAATTGAATTAGACCTTAACAACAAATACAAAAATTGCCTTTACAAGTAAAGAATACGACCCATTAATTAATTCACCATTAATCATGTACAGAGAAATAACAAAAAAGATGATTGTGGAATTAGATCACAATAACAACAATGTACAGATTGCATGAATCAAAGAATAAAGCACAATTCTGTACCCCAAAAAAAAAAAGAAAAAAAAAAGAATAAAGCACAATTAAGTGCACAGCTTTAACTAACAATAAACAATCAGTTGAATTAACCCCACATTGGATACATGAAACACTCTTCACTACTCATAGCACCACACGAACCTCCGAACCAATTCTCAAGCTTCCAAACCAAATCCTTGTCATCCATATCGAAACTTATGAGAGACCCCAAATTATCATCTTCCAAGTCCACGTCATCAACACTACTCTCCCACAAACCAACCGGATTACCATTCACCCAACAAACCCCATCGCTCGGAACAACCGAACCAACATCCATCCTCAAATTACCGGAATACCCCTGATCAGCCGGCCTACTTTGATCACCCAAAGTCGAGAGCAAGTAAGCCAATCCCCCTTCGTCCGGCCCAGGCCCATTACCCGATTCACCAAGCCCACGGCCCGGCCCACTCTTCCTCTTCTTCTTATTCTTCTTCCTCCTGAGAAGGCAAAGCACATAGTCCTTAAACTCCGCCTTCACTTGCCCCAACTTGCAGTCCGGAACCGTATACTCCTTCAGAAACCACTCCCCGAAAAAATCGGCGCTCGAGCAGCACTCTTTCCTCGCCACGTAACGGAAAGTCCGCTTGTGGCCCAATAACTCGCCACGCTCGCCGTGGATGAACGCGCGCTGGCCCTTGTTCGACCACGTGCCGTTCCCGATGTTGCGTGAAAACCGCTGATTATTACTATTATTATTGTTTTTGGCGATTCTCTTGAGGCGCGTGTAGAAATAGCGCTCTTGGTGTTCGTCCTCGGGGGAGAAGAACTCCCAGGGCTCCTTTTCGCCGAAGAGGTCGGCGGTGGATATGATGAGATGGTCGCCGGCGATTGGGTTTCCGGTGACGGCGCCGATGAGGTAGCGGCAGCACTCTTCGTCGGTTGGGTGGAATCGCACTCCCATTGGGTAATTATCGACTGGCGCCGCCATGGAGTTTTTTTTGCCTGCGATCGGTTCTTTCGAATTAATTGGAGTTGTTAAACCTAAGAAGAAGAAAGAGAAGTTGTGAGAATTGAGTTGAGCCTTTTTCCAAAATCGAAGTGTGTATGTATATTTATATGTATGTATTGTCCGATGTCGGTGCGGTTTAGAAATTATCAGACCGTTGGTATTTTAGGGTTAATTTTGGTAATCGGCCGATTGAGCCGTTTTCGTTCTTGGTTTGAAAGTCGACACGAAATAGGAATGAGTTGTTATTTATTATAATAATTGGTTTAATTTAAATGAACATGATTAGTATGTATTTATTTGTTTATTATCTATAGTTTAATTTGAATTATACAAATATAGTAGTGTTATTTTGGATTAAAAAATTATTTTATGGATTTTACATAGTACGAATGTATATAATATAAACTCATTTATGATAATTTTTTTTCTTGTATTTTGTTCTCGTGAATCAGGTGACTAGGCGTAAAAGAAGTAATTAACACATGTCATTTTGTGTTTATCAAATTCATTTGTTGGATATTATTTTGATTTGTTTCCTTTTTTATAAGGAAGCAATAAAGATGGAAGGTCTTAAAATCCAGATATTATATATATATAAATGTTAATTTTACGAATTATGTTCTAATTATACATATAAGACTTCTAAAATTTAGTGCCGTTGGATAAAAATCATTGTAACGATATTTAATAATATGAATGTGTATTAAAAAGTCGTTTAAAAGAAAAATATATTCTGTATTTTGTTTATGAGAATCAGGTGACAAGGCGTTAAAGAAGTATTTAACACATTTCATTTAGCCTAAGCACAAGTTTGAACTAATTAACTTAACTAGTATTCTACTATGTGCATTTGCACAAATATTAAAGTACTATAAATTATTTGTATGCATATAATATTAAAATTATATGTTAAATGATGGTATTATATTTTAAACATAGAGAGTTATAAGTTATATTTATGCATATAATATTAAAATTGTAAGTTAAATAATAATATTGATTTTTTAAACTTTGCTCATTGGTTAAAATAAATAGTACATAACGATTCGAATGCATACGAATCACTATATAGATTGAATAAAATATAATAAATAATGTAATTTTTATAATTTTGAGGGATCATGATCAATTAATTAGCTGAAAAATATTAAATTTATTATAACAATTGCTTATGCAGTTTTAAAGAATTTTTATAACATTAAAATAAATTAATTTATGTAAAAAACAATCCCTTAACCATATAAAAAAATATAATAGTGATTTTAGAATAAATAACTTGAACATATTTTTTTACAATTAATATAATCTTTTATGTTTATGTAACTTTCCTATATCATTCAATGTAAAATATAATTATTAATTTTAACAACTATTATAAGATTCAATAAAAAATATAAATATTACTCAATTAATATAAGATGTAACGTTTTTTATCTTAATTAACCCAAAGAAAAAGTGCAATGAAATATTTTATCATTAATGGAATATGGTGGATTAATATCACATATGTAAAATTTATTAGATTTTATTTTATAGGTTTTAATGATTTGCCACGTAGGTACTATTAATTATTAGGTTTTATTAATTAGGTTTTATTTAATGATTTGGTAGCAATTATATATACTAGTATTCGACCATGTGCATTTGCATAGATGTAAATAAAGTATTATAAGTTATTTGTAGGCATATAATTTAAAAATTATAAATTATATAATAATATTAATTTTCAAACTTAGAGCCTTATAAGTTATATTTATGCATATAATGATAATATTATAAGTTAGATAAATTTATTATGTTTTTAATTTCGATCATTAGTCAAAATATATAGTACATAACGATTTAATTGCATATGAATCACTGCATTAATTGCATAAAATATAATAAATAATTTAATTTTATAATAAATAATAAAATAAATAATAAAATATAATTATTATGACCAATTAATTAGCTAAAAAATATTAAATTATTATTACAATTGCATATGTGATTTTAAGAAATTTTACTACGACATTAAAATAAATTAACTGATTTAAAAAATAATCGCTAACTCAGATAAAAAAATATAATATTAATTTTAGAATAAATAAATTAAACAAAAAATTTTACAATATAATGTTTTATGTTTATGTAACTTCCATATATCATTTGGTGTAAAATTTACTTATTAATTCTAATAATAACAATTGTATGATACAATAAAAAATATAATTATTAGTCAATTAATATAAAATGTAACGTTTTTGTCTTTATTAATCGAAAAAAGTCCAACTAAATCTTTTATCATTAATGGGATATGGTGAATTAATGTAATAATAATAATAATAATAATAATAATAATAATAATAATAATAATAATAATAATGGATTGTAACCGTTATTATACTAGAAAAGTGCCATGTAGGTAAAATTAAATAGATTTTATTTATTAGGTAAAATTTATTGCTTAGCTAACAATTATATATATAGATATATAGATTATCCCGACAAGTCTTCTTTTAAACTACACAGTAATTAGGCAACTTAAACGATTCTAACAAATATATAAACTTTAATACTCAAATGTTATAATTTAAACAAACAAATTCAAACAAATATGACAATTATAATATAAATATGTAGCTTTTGTAGTAACTAGTAAAGTTCACGTGTAATATATAATTTGCATTTTTTTATGATTTAAAATTATGTTTTTTTATCTTTATATAGTTTATTTGTTTTTTCAATTATAATTTTTATTTAATAAAACAAAACAAGTCCATTAAATAATGAATAAGGTGAAATATATCAAAATTTAAACATAATTTTCATATAATTTTAATATTTAAATATAAAAGAATACATGAAAAAAAGTTCTATACAAACTTTCATTTTTGTAATTACTATTGTTTATTTATTTATTTATTTTTTCCGAAACGATAGATAATTTTATAAATCAAAATGCACAAATGTGCGAATACCCAGCAGCCAACGGTTGAATACACAACAGCCAACAGCTGAAAAAGGCGGAGGATAGGTCAGAAGCCCGCCTAGAATTCCGACTAGCAACGCTAGAATAAAAAACACACTCACAACTAAACTAACCAACAACACAAACAACTAGAACAACTTCAAGGACCCCAATAGGGTAATACCTTAGTGTCGGACCTCAACGAAGTAATAAGTTTGACACTCGGGCTTACAGGGGCCAACGGCCTAAACCAAAAACACAAAACACAAACAATCACTACTGCCAAGACAACACATACAACACAAAACAGACGCAACAACAAAAGCACAAAACATATAACTCCCTTCCCCAGCAAAAGAATGGATCAAAACCAGTAGAGAACCAATCAATCCAAGAAAGAACCGAGACCGATGCTCAACTTCCGAAATTGCTGCCGAACGCCTATACAGAAGCTAAACCGAGATCTCGAGACTAACCCGAATCAACCCACCTTCGACCGAGAGTACGACCAGCCAGCTCCCTGCAACAACCCTACATTAGCTCGCCTAACACCACTAGCCAAAATAAAAGGCGCCGGACCCACCCAGTCCCCAACACCAGAGAACTGGAGGGAATGAGAGATAGCTAATCCTGCTACTCCCGCACCCCGACGAGTGACGTCGCAGACGCCGGAGTCCCGATCCGCCCGCCGACCAACACGCCTCCCAACACCACCGCAGTCTGCTGATATCTCAAGCTCGAGCACCAAAATCCATACCCAGAAACCCAGCCTGAAATCGACCGATGAGCCTCCGAGTGCCGACCCAATGAAATTGATGGTGAACCATCCAATCGAAGACCGTTGGCGTTATCAGAGGGAGACCACCCGCCTCTGACCAAGGACCACCACCGCAGTCGCTCTTTGCCGACGACCAAGGGCAGAGCTCTCATTGAAACAGCTTTTGCAGCAAAATCGAAGAGTCACATTATCGGGGGCGGCTGAGCGGTCGTGGATGACCACTGGCCCAATAAATGCTTTTTTTTTTTTTTTTTTTTACCAAACGGCAATTATATTATTAACTTATTGAAATCAGGCACAGCTGCACTAGACGAAAGCAGACACAACTACACTAAACGAAACAAAACAACAAAATTAAAAACCAAAAGCAACTCACACCTAATAAACAAATATAGAAGATATGACCTCCCCTACACCTAACAAACTTAACGCTCGGCCATCCGAGACTGCACACGAGCCTGATCCACTAGCAATGAGATCTCACGAAGCCACAAATCAGAAACTCGAGCCAGAAAACTGCGGTCACTGAAGTCGCTTAGTCGGATCTGAAGAAGAGTCTGCTCTCAAATCAAATTTGGTCTCTGAAAAACCATCCACACTAGGGGAGGGGAGAGGGAGCCGCCGCGAGGACACCAACATGCCTCGCCGAAGTACTCGAAAGAAGGATCGAATGGACGGTAGGCCGCACCCAATGACCCAGAACTTGATAAACACAACCCCAGATGAAGCGACGATCAGTACCTCCACGAGGCTGTGGTATAACACTAAAGGCCAGCAGTCTCGACCTTGGCCGGGAAGATGATTGGGCGGCGAAAACAACTCAGTCCCGGCGGGAGCGAGTGTTCCACGTCCAGATCTCCCACAATCCTCGGAAGAGACGGAGAAATACCACATCCCCGACTCGACGAACCCCAACTCCGGCAGGTCGGCGATGAGTCTGAAGATGAAGGGCGGGAGCGATATTTACAGAGGTGGAAAAAGGATTTGGGGAGGTTTTTTTTTCTTTTGGGAGGTGGAACGACAGAGGAATTTCTAGTTTCATACATGTCTAATAAATGACTATATTGCTATAAAAACACTTAATTGTAGAAAATGTCCACTAACTAATAAAACTCGAGTATAACATGCCTGAAAATGTAAATTTAGGCAAAACTACTATTAACTAATTGCAGAAAATTAGGAAATAGATGTTTAATAACATGCGTGTTTGGGTATAATATATGTAATTTGATTGGCTAGTGGATTTTC